GATTTCTGAAGTTCACTCCTTGTATTGCACCCAAAACCACTGAATGGGAAACAGATTTAAGAAGTCACAAAAAGTAGATTTTTGAAATCAAGGGAAAAAGGTTTGATAAGTTTTCACCGTACATGGAACAGAAGAACAAGGAAAAAAGTAAGGCGAAATATGCCAAGCAAAGAAATAGAACGATGTTCACTTACTGCTCCATGGATGCCGTTGACCGCGTATCCTGAGTTGACAAATCCCTAAATACACATACCGATCAGACATTACAGATGACAGATAAGCAGCGCAATGCATTACATAGTCGTGAAACGCCTTTGCCTCGCTCGAGTGATCGGTACTGTCCCGTCGTTCAGGCGCAGCGCAATACAAGTCCCAGAATACACTATAAAAGCGATAAGAGGTTAGCCGTCAAAGGTTAGAGGTTAAGCTGAATATATCAATCAACCGGTCAGTCAGTTATCGGCAGCGGCGAAGAAAAATTTTCGGGTGGTTTACTTGCGAACCTCGATAGCCGCCGGTCACAAGCCCCATTTATTTAGTTTTAAATACAACACAGAACGAAATAAAAACAAAACAAAAAAACCTACCACCACCAGGAACAGAGAAATCCGGGAGGGTCGCCCAGAGTGATCTGCTTATCCCATCGGATTTCCTGCAAAAACGTCTGAGCGGCATTTTTCGCACCGATGTGAAGCAGGTACTCGTAAACGTACAGCGCAAGTCTGAAACGACACATGACATCACATCACGTACGGCGCAGCCACTACGACCGATGGACGGACGGTCCTTGGTAGTCGTTGTCACTTTGTCACTTACTTCTCTTTCGCTTGTGCATCTGAAGGCGGAACAGTAGGTATGTTTGGGCCTCCTTTTTTCCAAGACATCGTTGGCGATGACGGTGGGCGGCGGCGGCGGCAGCGGCAGCAGCGGTGGCGGCAGCAGCGGCAGCAGAAGGAGCCAATTAACGGCTGGACGTGCTCGAACTCATCATTCCTTCTTCGACTTCGCCACTATGCAAGGACCATGCTCTTCCTTACGAGTAACGACCACGCAATCACTATCGTCTAATCCTCCTTATACAAACCAGAGTTAATTAGTACCGTATGTAAACTTTGGCAAATCAGCAACCAGAAACCTGTCTATCAAGCAAACAAAAAATCTCACTCGATAATTCACCGACTGCGACCCGAGTTGTTTTGTCATAAGCAGCTACAGAACGCTCCAGCGCTACTCTCCTATTTTCATTGTTTAATCATATGGTGAAGGTTATGTCATCCCCTATCAATTTCTATTTTATTTTATATTGCACTGAAATTTTATTTATTGCATTTATTGCAGCCCATCCTTAATGAAAATCCTCCCTGTTTATGTGTTGTGTGCATATGTTTGTGTGATCTTCACCCTAAATAGTTTTTCTAAGCAGAACCTCAGTGATTTCCAGTGTATTCTCAACCTACGACACTTTTGCGGTAGGGCACTGCTTACTCATTCGTAAAAAGAGCATAATGCAAACCACCTTCCTTATTTACGCGTTGTTTTACACAGAATAATTTTAACAAATTAGCAATACAATATGGACGTTAGTAATTTTCCTGTGCTGTTATTCTAGAAAAATATTGTGGCAAACATTGAAAACATTTTCCGTTCAAATATACAAGGTTTGGATTAAAGTTTTCAACTCTAAGTAGACTGCTCATTAATTGACAAAGACTATGAAAAATCTTGCTATATAGCATAAATAAAAGATACTTTTGCAAACAGCATGATAAAGAGAGCAAAAATGGAAATAAAAATAAAATTCTACAAAAAACTCTATTGCTCTATGCGTAAGATTTGGCGTCTTGGTGAGTTTGCTCTTCGTGCTGCCAATCGAATTGAATCATCGCTTATGAGGTTGGTTAATTGCAGCGATACGAAACGATCGCATCAGGAACAACATGACCTATCTCTCCCATATTCTGGTTTTATTTTTTTCAGGTTTAACCTTGTGCTGATCATTACATTGAATATTCAGTTATCATGCTGGTTAGGCCTAATTGCAACCACCCTGGACGCTCCTTATAGCTGTTCTTTTCGCTCATTCTGCTATGACTTGACCAGAATGCCATGTTCTTCTTGTTTTTCACAAATTAACCGCTAACTACCCTTTCGTCGGTTGATTGTGCTACAACAAAGTAGACAAATTCTCTGCTCAAGGGAATTGGCTTTGACTAGAATTTTTTGAGGATCTGAACGCAAAACACTCGGCTTCATTTTTAAGCCGCTTTTTACAAGTGTGTCACGACCTCTCTTCCGTAGTAAGTTGGTTATGCCAAAGAAGTTCTTAGAAACTATAATCGCTGAATCAAATAAAGTTGATAAATGTTCATTTAATTTATGTGCATATTTGAGTTGCTATTGCTGATTATGATACGGCTGTCACCATCACCGGCTTACCCGAATTCAGTGATGTACTGGATTAT